CTTTTGCGCTCTGTTTCATTTCGAAGCAATCGACGTACCATTATTATCACTTGTGAATGTTAAGTTTCACTCACTAGAAAGAGGGAAATCCTGCTGCTCTGCATACTTATCCCAGAGGTTGCAACTTTTTCTCGTTCATGATGAGTAGATGGGCATCCTTCGGAACACTCTTTCATTGTTGCTGAAAAATAAAATCTCGTAATCTCCCTGGGTGCATGAGCTCTGATGCCGCGCAATCCGGGAATAGTTTCTTTTTGCCAATCTGGAATCCTTCATGCTGCTCACCTCAGAGTTCTACAACCAGCGCATTTTAACTGTTGAAAATACGCGTGTAGAGCTGATCATGCATGGCCTGCACGAGGTCCAGTACAGGGGCAGACGAGTACGAGTCCTCCACCACTCGGTTCTTCTTGGCCTGAAACACATTCTCCAACAGCGGTGTCATTTCGAACTGCAACTTCGCTGCTTCAAGCGGTCCCACCAGATTGAGCCTCGTGGCGGCACTCAGCATGTCGCGTGTAGTCATGAAGAGATACATGCGCTGTGTGGGCTCAGCCTCCACACCAAGCAGAGCACAGACAACGCCAAAGAGTACAGCATGGTGGACACCTCCATGTTTTCGCTTCTTTGTTTCTTTCCGTACCGTCAGTAGTGTTTGAAAGCGAGGGTAGCTAGGCGCGTATGTGGATAGTGCCAGTCTCAGCAGAGCCGCGCCTTGCGCGAAAGAGGCTTTGCGCGCAACGTGGTTCGAATAGAGTGCGGTGGCGTGGTGATTAAGACTTAATACCGATTCCGCAAGGGTGTCGGCATCGAAATCGGGCGCCGTAGCGATCTGATGTGCGGAGAAGACGAGGGGAAGCGCGAAGTTAGCGCTTTGGTGCAGCGAAGTCGAGAGGAAGCCCCTCAGCGACGCGGCGGCCACAAGCCCCTCCTGTGTCGCGGCCTCCAATCCCAGCGAGTGTGCGAAGCCTCCTGTCGGGAACAGTGAATCCACCATCTGCCATTGCGCCCAGTCGCCCGCGGGCGAAGGTGGCGACGCATTCTCGGAGACCATATCCACCGTGAAGAGGGAGTGAAGGTCGTGCAGGTTGATGTGCAAACCGAAAATAGAGATCTGTGATTGGCCAAAATAAACACTAAGTTGAAGTGACGAAGTGATTTACAGTATAGCTTTTGTCATTGATCAGATTTTTTTGTCATCTTCGTTGAAGAGAACAAAACCCACGCAGCACTGTCTCCAAAACGCCATCGACTTTTCTGATGATCCCAACGTTAGCCACAATGTGGCTGCCACATCGTACAATTGATTGCTTTCACGTGGTTTTGTGAGCTCCTGCTTATGTCGGTCTTCATTCATTTTCGTATGGATATTCGCAAAAGGAGCTCGTGGTGGTGCTTGGTAACCAACTCTATAAGGAAAGGCACCGCGGTGTCAGGTTTTGAGCTACTTGCGAAATACGAGGTGCAAGTGTTAGCCAGTCTACTTCAGACACTTCAGTACAGAGTGAAAAACTGCCATCGTCGATCATAGAACCAGCATTGCCATCTTGTGTCGAAAGAAATTTTCCTGGCGCGCTGCTGGTCTTTTAATACGGTACTGGAGATTCCAATGGAGACGGCACTCAACGAAATCCAGGCATTCGTCTCGTAAGCTTCTCCACAAATTGTAGCACAATGGCGTGCGTGAGGTCTCATCTTGGCAGTCAGACAGGCTCTTGTTTGACGAGCCCTTACGATCTCGCGATTCACATGCTGCAGATTACATTCCCCCATTTGCATGGAGGCATCACTATGCTCAGCAACTGCGGTCACAGTACTTTGCAACGGGGTCCAATGATGGCCTTCTAGACGAGCTCTATCCTGTTTTCGTGTCCTTAAACCGGAAACCTGCAGTGAATCCTAAGTCGGGGCCTCGTTAACAATGGCAATGAGCCAGGGCTTTCTAGAGATTGTACCCACCCGTGCCGAGGCGTCGATCAAGAATTGTTGTTGTACGAGCGGTACCTCCGCAAAGGGTGGTGGACCGCGCTCGTCATACACTTAGTCTGAGTCTCAAAACAGCCATCTGCTAAGGAGTCGAACCACTGTGGTCATGCTTGCCTAGATGAAGATCTTTGAAGGTGTCCGGCATCTCCAGTAGAGCGCCAGCTTACGATGTTTACAGCAGCAGTATGACATGACTGCAGTATATACAAGACAGACGAAAATCTTCGGTGAAGGCTAGCAAAAAAAAAGTTAGCGGGGCACAAAATCAACATCTCTTAAGCTTACCTGGTACATATTACTTGTCATCGTGTTTGAGACTTCATCTGAAGAGGGTGCGATGGGGAAACGAATAAATCATAGATGTCGACTACAAGTATCATTGTTCGATTTGCCTGCTCTTTCCTGGCTGAATTTTTTCAAGGTTAAAATTTGCTCGTAAGATGGCGCTGACGCTCGTCATTTCCTTCGAAACCGACAGACGGCTCCATGTGAGTCTTGTCGGCGAATCAATCCTTATTCCACGCATGCACGTTCTCTTCTGCAGGTGTCGGAGGGACATCGCTGCAAAAGCTTCGATTGGTACGAAGATTGTGACCTGCCATCTATCCCGATTGTTGTGCATGTCGAGGCGACGACGAGGCATCGCGCGTTGAAGTGCGTGCCGTTTGCTGGCGGTCTTGGCTCCCTAGGCAACGACACGCCAACGGATGACAAGAGTCGCGCCAGCGTGCCGAGTTCCCTCGCCGATCTCAGTCTCATTTCCCATTTAACGTCAACGAGCACAGGACCATGGGCGCCGAAGCCTTCAGCAGCAGCAACAGCACCGCCACCTTTCCGGAGATGGAGAAGGACCTCAAGGTTTGTAAGCTTTGTCCTGTCTTCCTGGTCATCAAATGCTTACTCGAGCCACTGTTGTCTTCAACAGATCCCTCGCCACATCGCCGTCATTATCGATGGCAACCGTCGCTACGGCAAGAACAAGTACGGCTCGGGTACTCGCGGTCACTCGGACGGCACCAAGACCGTCATGAACTTCACGGACTGGTGCATCGACGCTGGGGTTGAAGCCCTCACAGTCTTCGCCTTTTCCACGGGTGAGTATTCTTATCCCGATCTGCTATCCTAATGTTTCGGTGATGCTGACGCAGCGTTTTTTTATTATATTACTTTCAGAGAACTGGAAGCGTGAGAAGGCCGAGATCGATGCCTTGATGAAACTGGTCGA